ATAGATCCTGTTCCAATGCTGTATATTAATCAAAATCACAACGCTTTGTTTCTATTATGTTCTAGTTTAGTCGAAAACGCTTGATAGAGAAGACGCGGCAAGAATTAGGCTTCATAGAAAAGGCGTAAAGTTCACGTGAATGTAGTACATTGTGTGACATTCTAGATACTTGATAGTCACTCGGTAGTAAATAATCATACTGTCTGTTCTAGGATGGAAAGGATTAAATGTTGTACAACGTGATATGATAATAATAATACTTTCAGATCGGTTGTTCGATAGGAAATCAGTAGATAATTATTGACGAAAAGAATCATCGAAGTTTCATAATTCACCAGGAAAGAGATCACGTTATTATATTAATTATTATAGTTTATTATTATTATATTTATTATTATATTTATTATTATTATATTACTTTAAAATGTTCCTCAAATTATATTTTAATATTTAATAGCAATTTTGAAAGGATCGATATATAAATACAAAAGCTTGTAAATTGAAATTGTAATAAAATACAATATTATTTATAACACGACGCGGTTTTTTTCTTTTTATATACAGTTTCATACAGTTATTATATTTACTATTATACTATTGTTATATTTATTATTATACTATTATTATATTTATTATTATACTATTATTATATTTATTATTATATTTATTATTATTATATTACTTTAAAATGTTCCTCAAATTATATTTTAATATTTAATAGCAATTTTGGAAGGATCGATATATAAATACAAAAGCTTGTAAATTGAAAATTTAATATGTAATAAAATACAATATTATTCATAACACGACGCGGTTTTTTTCTTTTTATATACAATTTTTTATATACAGTTTCATACAGTTATTATATTTATTATTATATTACTTTAAAATGTTCCTTAAATTATATTTTAATATTTAATAGGAATTTTGAAAGGATCGATATATAAATACAAAAGCTTGTAAATTGAAATTGTAATAAAATACAATATTATTCATAACATGACGCGGTTTTTTTCTTTTTATATACAGTTTCATACAGTTATTATATTTATTATTATACTTATTATTATTATTATATTACTTTAAAATGCTCTTCAAATTATATTTTAATATTTAATAGCAATTTTGAAAGGATCGATATATAAAAAAGCTTGTAAATTGAAAATTGTAATAAAATACAATATTATTCACAACACGACGCGGTTTGTTTCTTTTTATATACAGTTTCATACAGTTTAAAATTTTACAAAGTTTTAACACAGGCAGATCACAGTATAAAAATAATCCGTGCCGCTTTTGGGCAATTTACAATATAAATTTTAGAATATCTGTTAAGTTGTTCTCTGTTATTTACAACTATATACAGACATGTATAATATTATAGTTGCGTTCACGGATTTTTAAGGTATTAAAGATTAATTATATATATATATACTCACTAATTATATAATACTCACTTTTAAGGTACTAAAGATTAATTATATATATACTCGTTAATTATATAATACTCACGTCGTCAGGATAATTGCCACCGCAACGGACGTCGCATCTAGCAACTCTGATGGAATCGTATTCTTCTATGTATTTCGTCCAAGATGCCAGACATCCTGGCAAAAGTAACCACCAAAGCCACCATTCTGTAAAAAATCCACAGTAACATTACACTGTGTGGCCACTTGTAATGATAAATTTGAATTTCAATGAAAAGAAAACTGGCGATGAGCCCCCCTCCCCCCAGACGGATCGAATTACACTTACTTTCATTCGAAAGGTTGACACCGATATCAATGTCTAATAAGTCAATACACTTTCTAAGCAGGATATATATATTTACGTTGAAAATGTATATATATATATATATGTACTATCGCGTGTAACTTCGTGCAATTTCGTTAGAAGCTTAGTATTCTCTCTTACGTTTCAACAATGTGCCGGTTGACTACTAATTTTCTGCACTTTTAATAAATATTGTAAATTTGTATAACAAACAGCTAATGAATTCATAAAATCTGTACAAACATTTATAATATGGTTAAAAATATATACTTCAATCGTTTCAAAATTTCAACGATGGAAAGTTTCTTTAGAGTCGTTGGCCAATTATTATTATTAATATTAACTTTTTTTTTTTGTTAACATTTACTAATTGTACATGTATTTTGTACAGCAATTTAAGAGCAAATAATTATGTACTATATAATAGATGAAAAGTGAATAATAATAATAACAATAATTAAATAATATAATATATAAAAGATTCAACATATAAATATGATTAAAATACAATACATACATCATCATAGATTATGTCAGAGATGTTTTCTGAAGCTACAATTTTATTTCATTTTCATGGAGAAAAGAAAATATAATTGAACATAAATACTTGTCAAAATAGCTACGAAAATATAACATGAATTTATTGAAATATAAATATAAATCTATATTGGGCAGAAAGTTATTCTATGTGGAAAAATGAATGAAAAATGCAGAATAAAATTTCGCCTGGTTTCCGAGGAGATTAAATTTGAATTTAAAATTCATCTTTTTCAACATGAAATCTTGAACGAAAAAATTTCATTTCATTTTATTTGTATATCTACTTAGAATACTCTCACGTTGATTGCTCACTCCTATATCCAATATGAAATTGGTCAAATTCGAATATACAATACTTGCTAAATTT